GAACAGGCTGCCCAGAGAGGTGGGGGAGATGGCGGCAATGGATTTGCCTCTGTCTAACAAGCAGGAGCCCGGTCCCCCAGCAGCCGCTGGAGTGGACGGGGCCCCGGGCACCCCACTCGGAGCCTGAGGAGCTAGAAGACATCTCCTTGCAGCCCCTCCCCACTTAGCTGGGGCATGGAGGTCCAGGCATGGGAGAAAAAGTACCCGTGGAGCACAGAAGTTGTTGAAAAATCCCCAAGGACACAGTTATTTCACATTACCACCCCCAGCATATACAGTCATGGCCAAAGGTACAGAAACAAACTGTTTATTCATTTTTTGAAACATCAGGAACACAACAGGAGGCATTTAAACACAAAACCAAGCCTGAGTGCTTCTGTTAGCCTGTTGTACTGGGTAAGACAATTTTTCCTTCCCTGAGCAGAAGGCTTCAGTGGAACTGGAAAAAGCTCTGCCGCCTCTCCCACCAAAATGAAGGAATGTATCTCCAATTACACAGAGAGCAAGAAAGAAATTATTTTCTTTGAGGCCGCAGAGGTATCTCTTATTCAAGCCAACAGTAGCCTAATTTAGAACATAACGAGGGACAGAATTGGGTGTAGGCCACATCGGTATTTGTGCCTTCAAATTCTAACCTCAGCGTGATGCCTTCAAAACAGGATTATATACCAACAGCTAAAAAAAATAAATTGCTAAGCCAAACAAGAACCACATTTTCGTAGTGAAAACAACGCTCGGCAGTTGTGTAGGGGCTGGGGGAAAAGTCTCTTCCAGAGGTTGGTGTGGACGTCCAAGTCAGGCATAGGCACAAAAACGGGACCCTCGATGGCAGCGTTACACAGGGCTCCAACCAGCAAGCGCTGGTGAGAGTCGGTGAGCTACCCCCGCGCGAGGCGTCCCAGCCTAAGGCATCGGGTAGCGCTGATGGGGTGCGGCTTTGGGGACAGGTCGTTCCTTAAAAGGCACCATTCTAAGGACATCACTTTATCCAGAGGAAGGGTCTGTAATATAACCCTGATGGTTTATACTCCCACGAGTCAAGGCAGGCAGACGAAGAATACAGGGCTGACCTGTAACCAGGGCAGCAAGCGTTTTTTCTGATGTCACCAGTGACATCTTCCCTACCTACAGATCTATAGACAACATAGGCATAAAGTGCAGCAAGGCTGTTAACGCTCCACGCAAACAGAGGGCGAGTTAAGATCTAAACATGCTTGTATTTTAGATGACTGATTTATTTATTTTTAATTATTTTAAATGTTTTAATTGTCTTGCAAAAACTGAAGCAAGCCTGCATTCTGCACTCTCCATGTATTGATGTATTAATTTTTCCCTGTGCAGCCTCTCACATTCTGCATCCAAGTTTGCTTCAGTTGCTAAGTTTTGCTGGTGAATGCAACAGCAAAGGGACAGCTTGTCAGGAAACAATTTAGCTTGTATGTATTTGGTTACGGCATTCTGTTTAAGACGGGCCTTAGTAGCCCATTAGACAAATGGGTGTTCCAAGCACAAAAGCGTATCAAAAGGGTCAACCGGAATGGCCATTATCTAACCAGAGCATTAACTAACCTAAGTCAATACTCATAGCAATTAATAAAATATTTGGGAAAAATAAAAAAGAAAGAAATCCTTATGATCAACCGCTTCCCGTCACCTGGGCAGTAGACCAGGCATCCTTTAATCCTCCCCGCCGCAGAGTCTGAGCAGAACTTTCCTATAGTCTCCTGAGCAGTCTCCCTAGAGAGAAAAGGAAAAAGGAACACGATTAGTTTTACAGCTCCATACAAGGCTGGATTCTTCCCAGCACATACAGTTTGTTGTAGGGTTTGTATCCTCTTTGACAATTTAAGAACTAAGAACATTCAGAACATTTTCAGTACATAAATATAAAGTCTCCTTAATTCCAGCTCCTCTAAAATACCCAATAGGTGTCAAGTGGGGACCTGCCTCCTTTAAGCTGCTCAGCAAATCCAGCTCTTTGCTTCTAACACTGAAAAGCTTACCTTAATGAAGGAGTGGAGGGATTTCCCGTACATGGTCAGGAATTCCCTTCTGATATCCAGCATATCTATTTCGGAGCGGGACACCATCACGCGGATCAGCGTGTTGTCATCTGTTCCCAAGCCCTAAAGAAATAAACCAACCACATACAATTACAAAGCCTTTTGGATAAATCAGTGACAGACACAAAGGTTTTATCACTGGGCCTTCTGTGGGATTTGTTCCTAATCGGGGCATTTTTGGATTAGCGGAGTGATCCCCTAGCAGCATGCTGCCGGGTAGAAATATTGCTCTGAGCTTCCTGAGGGAAGAGAGGTCCATATAAAAGCTCAGACTCCCCCCCTGCAGTTAACAGCAGAGTTTCTCTTTAGCTAATGATTGCTGTCATGCTACTGACTCGAGCATGGAAAGGCAAGGGGAAACAAAAAAATAGCAATCTCACACCAAATGGTCTTTACCTTCATGGATTTATACAATCTTTCAGCAAAATAGGCAGGTTTATTTCGCATGCACTTTACTGTAAGGGAGACAAGAACAAGAGAATTAAGGTCAATAAAACTGAAGGAGAAGGTCTTCCAAACCTTTACAGCCCTTTCTCAGTGAAGGTGTTCATTCTGTAAAGATGCAATTCAGGGCCAAAAACCAGCAAGTGTAACGCAGACATCTAGTCAGTGACCTGCTCTAAATTGATGTCTCCATGCCCAGTGCACAGCAATATTTTCTTTAAGGTTTTCATGCTTCCTGGCAGCAAATGTCAGCTACCAAAGCATCGCTTGGGAAAGCAAACAATATCATAAAGCAGAGGGCTTTCTCACCCGACTGTATCTGCAAAGAGTAAACCACTGTGGCTTGCAAACATTATCTACCTCCTGAAGCTATGTAAACAGCCAGCCAGGGCAAGATACAGTATCTCTAATTATTTAATTACTTTGTAGACAAAGTTTAAAAGCAGGGCACTCACCCACAGCTAACAAAGCATCTTCAAGGTCTCCTGACATCTCGGATTTAATGCTGTCTGTGATGTCCTTATTAGCAATCCCTCTGTACGCATCAAAAACTAGGAGGAAGAGTCAGTGATACAAAGAGCGAGTGAGATGCTTCAGGGCATACAGTGCGTAAAGGATCCCTTTGCAAGATCAAGCTCCTCATACTCTGTATGAACATTGTGCCATTATTGTGACATTGTATGCTAAATCAGGGCTGTCCCACAGAAATAATTCGTTTTAATTATCAACTGTCTTGCTAATTGGCCTACCACTGCTGCTGGCATTTTCAAGAACTGCTAGTTAACGATGGCAGTTTAAATGCTTAGATGCATTAATGCTTAAATGCAGAGGCCCCAATGGGAGTCACACTTCATCATCTCCAATTTACAGGCTGGAGCAAGTTGTACTGATGTTTTTCTCCAGTCCCTTTTTGTCTCAGGAGGGAATAAAACGGTCTTTAAGAATTGAACGCGACTGGGCTCTAGGATACCTGCTGTCTCAGGAAGAGTTTACAATCAGTTAATGAACAAGTACAAAGCTCCTACAAAAGTATCGTCCTCAAACAAGGAAAAAAATCCAGGACACCGCAGAGGGCCCTACCTCTTAGTAGGTGGCATCTGTTCCGTGTACAGAGGATGGTCATAAATTGTACCTCATCTGTTCCCCATTTCTTCTCCCCAGCTTCATACAGGCACTTGAAGACATTATGAACAGACAAAGTACGGCTAATTGAGAAGAGCAGGCATACATGAGATTTTCACTTCCTTGGTGCTTGAGCACTGCTGGCCTGTGGCTTGTCTAGATCACAGATATTTTCCAACAAATACTAACCAAGCACAGCAACTGCCAACTGAAATGCCATCTCCCCTCCCAAATACCCAGCTTGCCTAGAGACCTCTCACCGCAGAGTTGCAAAGGAGGCTAGAACCATTATCCCCATTTCACCGGTGGAGTCAGAGCAGTGAAGAGGCTTCTCTAAGGGTCAAAACTGAGACTAGAGCCCAGGTCTCCATCTAGGGTGCTGCTGTCAGTGTAGCTTCAGGCTTACTGCTCTACCTTGAAAAAAGCCTAGGTCTAGAAGAAGCAAGGATTCACCACGAGTCGCATGTACAAGAACAGACAATTCTTGCAAGGAAGCTAATTGCTACACACCTGAGCATCCTGCTGAGCAAGGGCATCATCCACATACGTTCCCTCATCTCTGTTTCCCTGCAGAGATACAAGGATGAAAAACTCATCTCATCAGAGCAACTAATGGAAGCAAGTCCTGCAAATTCCCCGTTCAAAACAAGTTACTGGAGATGCATAATGGAATCCTTAAAATAGAATAGTAGCTTACAAACACAGCAAAATATGGCCCAGATGTGATTTGTACTTCCTTTTGAAATGAGCAGCAGTCCACTTTAACTGGGCCATTTTAAAGACAGAACATGGCATTAATGCATACCCCAGAGTCAGACTCCTCTCCCTGCAGAAGCTGGGTGTGAAATGCAGGTGAAGTGAAATGCAAGATAAGCGAAATAAAAGCCAGCCTGAAGCACCTCATCGCTGAAGTGAGAGGCATGTCCCTCAGCAACAGGAAGATTCACCTCCATTTCCCTTAGCCCGGACTTACCGTTGTGAGGGACACGAGGACTCTTCGAAACATGGAAGACGTGTCAGAGACAATGTCCTCCTCAAGGGTACAGCCGTATTCTAGCAAGAGTGTACACACACATATGACATCTGTTAGTAACAGGTCCACCACCTGGACACCGTTTGTCCACAACATTTGCAAGCCGTAAGGTAGGTAAGTATATAACTGTGCTCAGTGCTCTAAACATCATCGTAGCAGTCCAGCCGTCACATTTAGTGCCACAGGCCAAAATTAAGGAGCACAGCCAGTATAAAACTGGCAACAGATCCACACATGGACAGACATCCAACTGATAGACTGTCCTGGTTTCAGCTGGGATAGAGTTAATTTTCTTCCTAGAATAACCACCCCATCCCATTTCATTTACACCAATTCAATTTCTGGGTGAAATTCTAATCATCGAGGCTGTTAGCAGTCCTGCTCCTGACACCTGTTTGATTCAGAGGTTTTGTCTGGACAAATGGCAATAGTTGTATTGGCTGATTTGTCACACTTAAAGGCTAACAACCCCTCTCCTTCCTCTTCACATGTCCATGCATACACAGAAGTGACTTTTCAGACAGTATGGTAATGGCATGCAGTTTGCACTACATACGAAGTTTGTAGTTCTCGTTAATGCGCCGAATCTCTTCGTTTGTGCGAGAAGCCAGAATTTCAATCAGGCAACCTTCATCTGTTCCTGCACCCTAGGGAATTGCAAAGTCAAGGTCCAAGATTATAATGACAACTGTTTTAATGTGCAACTAGGATTTTTTTTAATTATATATAAGTTAATA